AAATTTTACCCGAGGTAAACCAAAAAAATACCGGCTTTCGCTCTACAGTGTTCAAATCAATGCGTTCAAAAACGGCTACATCACCAAGTGGTACCGGAAACCAAGTACCAAAAACATGCTAGTTCATTGTCTCTGCTCTCATCCTTCAGGCTCCAAAAAATTGTTTATAAGAGACATGTTTCGAACAACTCCCAGTGCGTGAACAACAGGAAGGGATCAAAAAACCGAATCACTGAACTTAAGGCGAAAAATGCCCATTTCCAATGACTACAAAGTGGTAAAAGCTTGGAATAGGTTTGAAATAAAACCACTCCCGAAACGATAAGTTCGGTGGAGACGAGGTACCGTTTATTCTGCCCATTCTTATTCTTCATTTCCAATGAAATAAGTATGGCATTGAAACATTCGTTTAAAAAGAACAATTTAGACAAATCAATTGCATTTACTGAATACCAAACTCTCTAAGTGGCGCTAGTCAATAGCATAATTTTTCCTAAGGAGACGCTAACTGCATGAGTTTGGATACGGTGTACCCAATCTCTCGTAAAGTGCACGAAGTCGAATACGTCGGCGAAACGGGTAGACCACTCTGCGCTCATTAACGAGAGTACTTATTTGGGAGTCTTAAAATCAGGCAGAACACTACCCTAGGCACGCGTTGGACACGAAGACACAACAACGAAGGTTTCGAAATGAAAGCCGCTCTCCTCGCAAAAGGATCTAAAACAGCAGTGCGTAGGAACCTTGAAGCGCTTTGTATAAATTTCGAAAATCCAAAGGTGAAGCACAAACAGGAGTGCTTGGTGATCACGTGTGACCTCAGGCCGATTTTTTGACCTGGGCCAGGCACATTATTCACCCGTACAGGGCACTGTGCGGCTGATCTTCGACAATAACCAAAAGGCTTATGCAGAACAAAGGTTGAATATATCTCAAAAAAGCTATTCCCTATGCGAATAAAATTTCTGTAACAAATTTTATCCGCTGATGTTACGAAAGTGTTTTGTCGAGTAGACTTTATGTCAGGCTGACCTTTTCGGGCACCGAGGGAGGCGAAACCACCGAGATCTCAGCTATTGTGAAAAAATAGATTTTGTGATAATAAAAACTCGTTTGTTCTTATAGAAAGAAATGATTCGCTGAGCAATACTGATGTTAGAAGAAAGTCAGTCCTGGGTTCTCCTCTACGAAAACTTTTGTTCTTGCTCATGAGAAATTAAAAATACCAACAATGCCAAGCTTTGACTTTCATCTCCTAATTTGACCTGCCGACTACAGTTTACAGTTTTCGTGAAGGCACTTCATAGGTAAACTTTTCTACAAAAGACTGTGAAAGAGTACTTCTATATAACTGCTTAGAATTTAGGAACGTAAAAAGACAAGGAAAATAGTTGAACAGCTCAACGATGCTGAACAAGTTGAAAAACTTAAGCGAATATTTTCTTCATTCAAGGTAAAAGAAAGACAAATTGGTAATACAGGCTTAATATATAGCTCATAATTAATTAGCACTCTAAATTATAACTAGAATAGTCGTTTTATTATACGAAATGTAATAAATTCAGCACACATAATTGAGAACGACTATTGATTTACAACCTAATTCTCTCCTTGACTACTCAATGATTCTTGCAAAGCCGACAAATCCTAAACCATTCCTATCGACTAGATTGTAGAGTGGGTTCTGCTTTCTCAAGGGACACGAGAAACGTCGCGTTTTTCCTTCAGCATCTTTAAACAGACTTAAAGAATGAGCTGAAACACACCTTCCTCACAGCATCGTGCATCGCGCACGATGGGGTAAAACAGCATAGAAAGTAGGAACCGTGGAAAAGGACAGGCGATAAAGCAAAATTTGCCAAACCAAGTGGAGTTAACGATTTTGCTATTATTACTCAGTGTCGAGAAATCATTTTTCTGAGACCATGATTATTTCTCTGAAGAAAGTCTTTCAACCTAATATCGTATCCTCTTGCTTTTTCGTTGCCTTTTTATCTTCACGACGTTCCTATGTTTCTGTGGTGTTCTTTGAGGATATGATGTCTCCATCCTAGCGCATAAAATGGAATGGATTAACCAATGTCATAAATTTCTTTTTCTTCCTTGTGTGCAAAATGTAGAAGCTTCGAGTATTTCTTTGTTGGTCCTCATCAAAACTGGACAATCAAGGTACTCATTCGGTGCATCTCGTAGGACCGACCGACACTCTGGACATATTTTGCTAAGTCAAGGGCATAAATCGTACCTTCCAGCACACTTTTTTCATTGACATGGGCTGTTTCATAACACTCGAAGTGCCTTCCTCCACAAAATCAGCATTTTTTTGGACAGTGCCAGCATTAGAGTTTTCCAATCAAGCAACTGTTGTTCTTCACTGAATATTTAATAATGGCCAACTAGTAGTCAAATTAGCATTGAGCAAAGAACTTTTTTTGCATACAGATTGCTCCCTTGTCGCTCAAATAAAAAATTTAGTTGCTCAACCTCATTTTTTTTCAAGTTAGAAAGCTTAGGTATTAACAAAAACAACTTTTCTTCGTAAGACTTTCTACTTAGCTAATATAAGTACATTAAAAATGACATGCCTTTGAGAGAAATCTTCCTATTATGTCCTGTTATCAGATGTGATTATATCTTTGTATGGCTGTACTTTTAGCAATTCAAGCCGATCTCCTTCTATTTTGTCGCATGGTTGCTCCGATTCCCGAAGGAGCTTCTTTCATTAGGTTATGCTTTCATTAGCTGAAACCCGCACCACGAGCACTTGTAATCTTTTCACTAATCTTTTCGTCACACCCGAGGGACATCGTATTACCGTAACTTATAAAAATCTCCGATAACGCTGTCCTTTATCAAGGCTAAAGAAAATGAATAACTGGTGTTTTTAATGAAATCCTTAGAGCATGTAAGAAATTGACAGTAATCACACTTATTTTTCCCTCGGTATTCGCCTCTTTCTAAAAGTCCACTTCAAGAACCCGAAGTACAAAACAATCTCTCCACACGAATCACATAAACGGTGCTTGGACGTGTTACGGTATGCGTGGAAGCTTGCAATTTTGGCAATCTTGTTAGTTTTCTGAGCTCTGTGAGTTTGAAGCCTCATTAAGTGTCACTAGAACAACTGTTTGTCATTGCATTTGTGACTATCTAAAGTGAGCTTGCCAAATAAATGTCGATAAGTTTAGTACTACCTTTATTTTACAACTGGTACCGTTTTACTAGTGATTTATGCGAGATACACAAGTGCACGCATATATTCGTGCACCGACGCATGCGCAGACAAACCGATGCTTGCCCATCCATCCGTTGTCACGCCATCAGCTATGCATTTCTAAGCGAATGTCGCTGATTTGAAGAACATTTCCTATCGTAGCACATCTATCTGTCACAGACATCTACCCGCAAACTTCTCCTAAATTTTGCACTATCTCCAAAAAGCCTAGTTTTTTCGCTATTTTATACCATTAAACTCGTAGAAGGTGTATTACATACCTGCCGAATAACTTAGTGCTTTCTTATAAACTGTTCTTTATGAGGTTGCAAAAGACCATTGATTCTGAATTTCTTGATACCTAGACCTCAGTAGAAGCTCGAAACTTATATCTATATTTCACCAAAAAACTTTGTCAATATTCTAAACATGATATTTCATCTTTCGACCACCACAAAAATTCTTTTTAACTATGAGAAAAGTTAATTTAACTTCGTTTTCGTATTGTAAGAAATTAAGACCGAATAATTCAAATGTTCTGTTACCATCGTAGTACTCTTCAAAGTAACCGCTGAAAAAAAATTACTGAAACTTTTATCGAAGCATTATTCCACCGGAAAACAAAGCTCGGTAAGACATGCACAATTGAAAAGCGAGTAAAAGAATACAATTCTTTGGAAAATGGGGCACGTGACAAGAGCGAAGCGAAAGGATTCCGTGTTTAAGCGGCGATACATAACATAATGCGAGAAAACCAGCAATGAAATAGTTGTTCAGAACAGAACATATTCAATTTACACATAAGGTTACGACATATACGACCTCTGAAAGGATAGACGGCGTTATTGTATAAAACAATTTACGGAAACCTGGTTATTCCTTGCGGCTAAGGTTTAAAATCTCGTCATTACTGGATGATTCCCTGCATTCTGTCTCGCTTGCAGCTGTACCGAAGTCGAATACTTGAGGCGGCATCCTGTATTATCTCTTTACTCAACGAATACATTGCTAGACATTTTTTTCATATGATGAACAAAACCTGAACACTCGTAGTACTTCATCTGGTGTGTCACGTCGCGATTCCTGCGAGGTTGGTGGGAAAGCACTCAGCTCAAATGCGCTTGATCCTCATAAAATCAATCGATTAGCATGGTTCGACAAAACACTATTCTTTTGCGTAGTAGTGCGAGAAATAAAAAAATGCCGGGTGGTCTCAATTACTTCACCACCAACACCGTCCAGATGCCATTTCGCGTGATGGATAATTGAGTGACATCTTTCGGTTGTCGCGAACAGCATTGTTGCACTAAATTGGATTTGCCGTACCCGGATTATGACTGGATTACCACTGGGAGATGGCGCAGTTCGAGAATTTATCGCTAGCTACACGTTTCGCCTCAAGAACAGAAAGCACCTAGAAGGTAGAAGTCTTATCGAAGAAAATACTATCTGCGCGTTAAACCTATATCGAATAGGTTTTTTAGAGTGGCTAACATCACCAACAAAAAACACCCAGTTGTTGCAGGATTGACTGGCGCTGAAGTCTACAAGAATATCCATAAAAAACGAGCACGGTAAGAGTTCCAGTATTAGTAATGTTTTAGCCCATAGAGGCTTTTCATAATGGTGCAAAAATGCAGAACTTCAATCAATTTCGTTGTGGTCTTTGAAAATAATAGTGAATTATCTAGGGATTGATTACAGTAGAGAAATGGTAAAAATAGTGCCGTGCTTTGTGGGGAATGCCTGTGTACGTTTGGGTATTAATAAATCTGTTGTACACCGTCTAAGGATGTGAAAATGAAATCTGCGACGTACCGTCAATATCTTCAAGCTGGCCTGGATGATGTGTTTCTCTGTGCCGTCGTCGATCCACTTTTCTTTGAAAAGTTCGCCCACAAACATCACATGCGAATGGCTGAAACGATTATTCGTAGTTTGCATAGCTACTTCAAGCGGAAATCATCGTCTATCATTCAAACGTAGTTAGCTAAGCGACGCTTATGAGCATCTAATTATATGCACGTTGTGAAATAGCCATTATTTTTGACGTGCGCACGTATCGGGCGAACAATGACATCCGTGAATCGTGAATTACGATAAATTCCTCGAGAAGCTTCGAACCTTGAATCCGGTATGCTTCCTCGTATGAGTAATGAGATTCGACGATTGGCTGAACGCCTTTCCACACACTGTGCATTTATGAGGTTTTTCGCCTAAAAAACTGAGCGTCGATATGTTACTGTGAGGGTTACTAAAAATTTTGAGTTTCCCAAAGGGAAAGCGTTCTTCTTTTAACGAACTCCTAGTTTTCATCGGTTCATTTATTGCAAATTCAGTAAAGATTACAATTTCGTTCACGAGGGGTGATTTAATTTGTTTTCCAAGCGTCAAATAATCGTGCTAATTTCCTATCAAGGCAAAGATGGATAACTTGACTCAACGAGCAGATTCGGCCTGGATGCTTTCCAATAAATCACAAACTGACACGGTATATTGCGCCGTCTGGTTATGAACATGGAACACGCGATAGAATTTAAAGAACACAGTGAAAACTCGGAATGCCGCTCCGAACTCACTAAATCTAAGCCCACTGACTTTTAGTAGTGACATGAGAATTGTTCATAGAATGCAGGGCAATACAATAAGCAGTACTCTTCAGTGGTCTTTTATTAGTAAACACCTGTTCACAATCAGTGTGGTCTCAGTTCCATTTAGTCAACAGCCCCTGGTTATCACTTCGTAGGTGAGTGAATTGTTGGCTAACACTTCTTAAAATCGTAAAATAGCTTGCCACGATTTTATCACAACACCAAATCTGTTCACATACGCACCACTCTATCCCACCGATGTTCAGTCTTTAAGGATAAACTCTTTGGGAGATATGCGATTACGTGGAACTGCATAGTTATAGCTCATTCATTGAAATCTAGCTTATTGGCTACGAGTTGTCACGAATCGGCTGCCATCCAGTTTCAATGATATTGCTTCGGTGACATAGCTTTCACAACCAAACAGATTCATCAATCATATGCGTACGGAATCAGTTAGCGGCTGTCGAATCATGAAGCTTTGACATCGATACATGAACAGGCAGTGGCGGGATGTGCCTTGTAAGAGTGATGAAAGATGGACTTGTTCTTTTAATATCTATACCTGTATGAATGTATGTATGCTTCTTCATGTCACTTTTTTGGTGAAAGCGTTTTCCGCAATATTCACATGGATACGGACGTGTGTCAGAGTGGATAAGCAAATGTGTGGAAAGCGTGGATGACCTAAAGCAGCGTGCTTTCAACACTTGAAAAAATGTTCTCGTCAAGATTAATGAAGTGCATGTTGGAAAAATGGAAGCATATGATGTCCTTTAAACCTTTTAAACGTCTTTCCGCATTGCTTGCATTCGAATTGTTTGTCAAGTGCATGAATGGTCTGATGTTGCTAAACAATATCAATTCGCAGAGTTAAAGTCGAGCAGTCGAACTAATGAAAAATCAAAAATCTCACCTCTAATGCAATATTGGAAGGAAAGACATTTGTACATTTGAAGCATGGAAACACATTTTCCGTTGAAGGAGAAGGGCCTTCAGAAAAGATGGTTGGACCATTCCTAAGACAAGCTTCGTCTGAAAGCATGAACGGCTAACTGTCCGGGACCGTTTCTTTAAACGAATCCTAATCGATTTACCGCGCTTTTCAGGTACTCGCTGCGGCGTAGCTACCAAATTTAGTGCAAGTTGTCGAAGATGCCCGTGCCAAAAAGCCGGCATAACACCAAAACCGTTCGCCATCATGCCGAAACTTGAATTCACATTTGGAAACAGTAGCTGACCGTGCTCAGGAAATCTTATCGGAAACAGCGCTAAAATGAAAGTGAGATTGACAGAGGATTTGATTGTTTGTTTAACCATGAGCATGTTCATGCTTTGTTTTCCCTCATCTTTCCCTCATCGTAAAATTCAACAAAGTGATTAAATCCCACGGATCGCACAACGCCAGCATACGATATGTCGGCTGGCGGGCACCCACGTGGGGCGAGGCGTGATTTCACAGGCCGCCCACAAATCACGACTACGGTAGTGTCGACGGCGAGACTTGTGTAAGCATGAGGACGGAGAGAAAATAACCCATATCACATAAGCTTATGCGAGATTTCTAGTTGGCAAGTATGCTTAAAACATAATAGAAGGCGCATCAAGCATAAGCAAAGATTTGGATTTCGCCGGAACAGAAGCATAAGCAAATTGGTAAAACTTTTGAGAAAACATATTGCCCACCAGAGTTAATCATTATTTGATGGCAACGATTTTGTTGCAACATCTCTTCCTATTCTTTATGAATATAACTGCATTCACCTTGTTGCATAAGAGCCAATTTCTGTTGAAAAGCTAGAGTAGCTCCTAATCTTTGCCAGTCCAACAATTCTCGAATACGCGTTGCTTTAGCTGCAAATTCAGTCGGAGACAGCGGTTTTTCCTTTTCAGCCAGCAAATTGGCGACCGAGTAAACACCGCTGGATGGCTCAGGCACAACGTTCATCGCTAAAAAGTGTCTAAACGATGCAACATCCAATAAAGGAAAATGCTAGAAATAAACTTGTAAGAGGCAATATAATAGAAAAGTCACAGCGAGCACTTCAAACGTGGGCTTATGAAGTGAAGAAATGTTGAACAGCTCAGTCACCCGAGGTTGATTGCGCGCTATTCCTACGGGCCGCAATCTAAATATTGTCGAAAAAGTTTAGAGTCTGCTTCGAAAATTTCTTGATTCTGTTAAATGGAAGCATAAAATAGATGTTATTAGAATAAAAACAACAGAAAGCTAAATAGTCATGCTGAATAGGATCATTATGAGGACGTAAAACTATCAGCAAGGCTGGAAAAATTTTTTTAAGTGACCGAAGCAACCATCGAAACCTGACTGGAACAATAAACTGCAGTATTTCTATCTTGTTACCGCTCCGGAAAGCAAATGAGCGAAATTTGTGCCAGAGTTGATGTTACAATAAAGATAAGAAAGATTCACTTGTGAAGAAATTCCTCGCGGATCAACGGTGCTGTGAAGCCGCCGTTCTTATGTTTTAAGTAGAAGACGTAGTTTTGGCAAGAGGTGATTGAGTTCTCGTCAATGATATTCTGAGTGAATATAGACGCCAGCGCGCTCATTGTGATTGGTTGTCGCCGTGGTGTAGGGGGAGCATCCTACCTCCCATACTGCCCGCCCATTCCCATCAGGAAAGCACGGAGCAAGAGGAGTCCATACGTCTCGTCAACTTTGCCCGCATCCAAATTAAAACGACACAACGCACATTGCTCGGCACATGTTCATGCCATGTGCATTATTTAGTTCTCTGACTGAGTGTGAATGAATCGCTTATGAAATGTCGGGATGTCAACGTTGACTTGCAACAGCAGCCGCTACTATTGCATCATAAAGCGTTTCAGAAAGCGAGCAGAGGATTCTTGGAGAAAGACTTTTTTGAAGTGATAAACAAGGCCAAAACAATGCTTTGACGCCTTACTTTGTTTTGTACAAAGAAAATAGGTGTCGTTTATGGTGCACAATATTATAAACTGTGGAAATGTAGCTGATACATCAAGTTGAATCTTATACAATCATGCATGCTCTTAAAGCGAATGATTTCATTGCGTATGAAAACTTTGTTATGAGTGTACATTCTGATAACAGTAGGGCAACACCTTCGCACTAAAAATATAAAGAACAAGTCAGATTATGTCCGAATACAGCCATCAGCTGCACATTCGTGTTTACCGACACCTTCAGTGCAACCGGAGACTCACGAGTGAGGAATGACCACCTGCACGTCATTTTGTAGTAAAGTAGTCACCAAAACCTTGTACCAGAGTAAAAACGAAGCTGTTGTGTGGCAATAAAAATAGGGAATAACAGAGATAAAAGAAACAAATCGTGGCATTTTTGCAAGGAATTGAAGAGATGCTATTCTACACCTCCCGAGATCTGAAAAATGCTTCGATAAACCACATTTTAAACTAACGGAAATTTAGAATTAAATGTGTTGCAGTAGGAAATAGCTGCATATCTTCCAGTTGAAAAGATTGGAATTCTTTGAAGCGAAATCAAATGGTAATTTCACCAGTAATCATAATTACGAATGCAAATTTTGTGAGATCTCTCGAAGCTGGAATACTAATTTTTCTCCAATGTGAACTTAGGACCAAACAGAAGGGAAAACATTTCGATTAAGAGACCACTCATGACTACGCTATCAGCAGCGGTTATCAATATTATCAATATCGGTTATCAATATCAATACAGAGCACACAATAAATCGCTACCGTAAGCCCTTCTTGCTTCAGTTACATGAACGCATCGTTCCATGCATATTCAAGCATCGACAATTTATTTCAATCAACGTTTCGTTAAAAATGCATACCACTTGGCGGAAGCGTAATTGTTGCGAATATTGAGTGAGAATAATCAGTCCATCGCTCTTCTTCATCACAATCGTATAAGGAACTCCTTTATGTTTTAGAATGGTTTGTGCAACATATCGTGGCCTATTCCATATCATTTACATCTCTCTTCATCTTCGATATGTGAGTATACCAAACGCAAACAATGGCAATCTCTCCATTCATGGTGGAAGCTGTAAAAGACTGCGACACATTTCTTTGGATGCTTATTAAAAGGGAAACACATGCGAAGAATAACCGTTGTTCTAGAAGAAATTTATTAATAAGGGTGTAAATCTCTGTTCCTTCCACAAAGGCAGCTACCGTGACGAACATTTGGTGACTTACTGGTAAAGCGGAAGGAAAATAACACAGAAGCGAAAAAGATAAAAAAGGTGCATCTCTAACGAAAATAGAAACTGAGTTCTCCATCTAGTGATTTACGTTGGCAAATGCTGTGGACTTCGAGGCATACGGTATATATGGATTTGTTTTCGCGTCCAGCCCCAATGTGCTGGCCGCATCAAGCAGATCTCCCGCAGTTATTAAATATGGAGAATGTGAAGATTGGAATTGGATTTCAGTGGCTGGCAGAAACGCGTGTGTGTGCGAATTACAGAGGGTATACGGTGCGATGGCAATGGAATAGCATGCAAACACAAGAACCTCTCAACTTTCAGAAGGAGGAAAGCAATGGAGAAGAACAAAAAGCACTTTGAGGAGGGTGACTTTTCTTATAAATTTTCGTACTCCGGCGCTCGTCAAGATGTGCAAAGGTACAGCATTCAAACCGTTACTTCCTAATGCGTCACTGAGCAACTCTAAAGGGCGTAGGAGGCATTCTCAAATTACCTCTAACCATTCAAAATCTGCCCTACTAGGTTGACGCTTTGTGAGCTTTTCTATGTATGAAGAAATGTATGTATCTAAGTATGTGCGTATGTGCCCATGTGTGTGTGTAGGTCTGCATGTGTGTGTGTGTGTGTGTGTGTGTGTGTGTCTGTATACGTTAGAGTGAGTGTTTGTCCATTACTTTGATTGCGTCCTAATCACCTGGATGAAATTGGAGCGCGACGAATTCGCGCAAAACGTCATAATACACCTTTCCCCAAACCTATGAACAAAATACCACCCAGTCGTTGACAAGCTTTTTTACTGATTTCATGTATTTCCTCAGAAACTCCGCTTTCCAAAACATGATCATCTATGTGTTGATCATAAAAGGCGTTAGAGTCCATGAAAACATTGTCAATCAGTCACCATACGGCGCTTAATATGAATCCCCATCGTAAACCATCGCGTGCGCTCCCCAAATTGCCCCGTCTAGCAACGACGTTCAGGAGCAGTACAATCTTCATTGGCTTTTCGATCTCGGCACTATCTCCACCTCAGTGGGGAAAAAACTTGCAGAGGTGTGGTGTATTTTGCAGAGGCGGCGATACGCTAACACCGCAAAGAAATTGCAAAAGAAGAACTCTAGCTTTAAAGAAATATATATAATCACCACAAAAGTGTGCCCACAATTCAGCAAAGGTTATCGATATCTACTGATGTAATTAAAGACAAACTAGCTGTAAATTACAGCAAGAAATCAAGGTCTCAGTAGGAAAAAATATTTTGGCAAAGTTGTAACAAGAAAAAGTGACCAAAACGATTGAAAATAACTTGTGGAGAAATTGCATCGCCATCACTGAGCTAGGTAGTGGAGAAGAATCAGTAATCGAATACGGTTCTTCATGAGTTTTATGCGCCTAACCTAAACTTCTTTCTCTTCTTAACTAATGAATATTCAAAACACTTTCCTGTGATATTCATAGAAAAAGGGAACTTGTCGAACACTCATATGTATTTCACTTCCTCTTTTTACTATTACATGCGTTTCATAGTTCATGAAGTGTCATGTGTTGCACAGCAGATGGAGAAGCGAGACGATTGTTATCTCCTGTCTCTCTAATTGTCGCTAGTTGACGGTGGTTGAGCAAGTGGTTGAACTCGAGGTCGAGAGGTCGAACCACCCCTCTGAGGAGCCAGCAACCTGACTCCAAGTAATTATCTCGAACCCATTCCTTTACGATAGCAAACCGCTACACTACGGGATGCCAGCAAAAACCTATATGTTTGGTTACGCTATCGTTCAATCTTGATAGATATGAATTTTCTCGGATTACGGTCGTCGTTAGTCTCACATAGAAAGCGGTTTTCTTTAGTGACCATCTAATTGTGGGTCCCATCGAAATGCTCAAGCCTTGGAACTTCTAAAAACTACTGTAGATTGTGAACGGAAAAGCTTAGAGCTTCCAAATCTCTATTCCTTACACGGCACTAAGGCACATCACAAATAATTCACCTTTGCAACGAAGTGTAGCAGAGAGTTGAAGAAATGAGCAGAAACAGCATTTATGCCATTTAGGAGCTTCCCGTGCATCCGATCTTCGCCCTCTTTGCATTAAGTAGTTAAATGACATGACGAATGTGGTAAAGAAATACATAATTCTTCGGGCAAACGAAAGTTTTACGAAGGTCAATAACATCGCGTTATCATAATTCTCTGACAGAACTAAAAAGTGTTATGGAAAAAGAAAGAGGATTAGAAATTCTTATAGTGAAATTCATAGGCTTTTAACGACAATCCATCTGAAGAAGTTATTTACTCAAGCAAGATAGGAGAGAAAGAAGAATTCAACGTGTTTTGCATGTTAACATCTGCATCAGACTTTTGGGAGAAAAGCTTCCTGAGGGGCTATTACTCAGAGATTCAACACCACTTAAGATACGATGCCAGAAAGTTTTTTACTTTCTATATCTACAGCTTTACTCTTGTTGTCAAACACGAATGCTTTGCATTCGATGAGCACATTTCATAAGCATCACGTGTCCGTTACACTTGGCGAAAATTTTAACGTACACATAATTAACATTCCGAAATGGAAAATCTGATTCATTCAGAAATAAAAATGATTTTGGAAGAATGGAAACTGTTGATAACGGATCATCACAAGGAATGACTTCGCCGACGCAAAAGTTTCAATGCCCTTATTTCGGCCACGTGAATCTATACAAATGTCAGTGTTAAGCTAAAGAACAGCCTCAACAATACATTACGCTAAGTGCTCAATG